CCAAATGATCTTCCCTTCATCCTCTGATGGCATCAAATCTGTTTCTGAAGCAGCTCGAGGGTCTGGCTTCAGAAATCTACCGCCATGCCTGTGAACTTCATCAATGATCCCAGCAACAATTGTGCGACGATTGGAAATACAGTCAAGCATTCCATTTTGAAGTCGACATAGTCGTGTTCATTGTAGTGCAAGAAATACTTGTCTCGCTTGGAGGTATATGGGCGGTAGTGAGCCTCCGTCACCAAGGGTTCCACAAAGGATACTCTGAGATTGCTTTCTGAAGAAGAGGATGATGACAAGAAAGACATGGTAGTGGCCGTATCATCATCATCTCTTTCTTTTTCTTCCTCCAGTTGCTTTCCCTTGAGGTTGAGTACCGAAGCACCATGCTCCAGGTAAACAAAGAAGGACAAAGAGGACGATGATGAGGATGATAATGAAGAAGATGACAAAGGTGACGAAGATAAGCCTCGATAATTCTTCAAGACAATCCTGTTATTATCCTCCTCATCGTGACTATCATCGTCGGCCATTCGTTGTTGACCACCAACCCTAGAAGACTTGACGTCCACTGTGACTTTGAAGTGCTCCATCTGTCCACTAGATAGGATGGATTGGCCTTTACCAATGTAGGCTTGTTGATACATGATGGCAATGGCAGGTCCATGCTGGGTGTGGACAAGACCAGCCAAAGTGACAATCGGAATATCTGTCACTTGGTGGTTGTCGATGCCTTGTACGTCAACAGTACAATTGGTCTTGAAGATGATGCGAGCATCATCTCCAGCAATGCCACCATTAGAACCTCTGTCGATCAAAGCCAGGTGTTTACGAGTATTTACTTTTTGAACAGAATAGACAATAGTATTATGGTAATACGATCTATATTTTATTCCATTTATAGTAACCGCGTGTTGTTGGGCTTCCTGAGTCGGAGGTGTTGGCGGTGGACGCTTGGTAGCCCGTACGGCAGCCATCTTATCAGACATCACGCGTTGGAGCTCCCCAGGCATCATAGCCGTTTGCTTGGAAAGATAGGCCAATAGCTTGTCAGGCTGTACGGCTTCTGGTTCCTGAGCAGGAGTGTGAGTACTAGTTGTATCACTCCCCATGCTCGCACTCTGCGCATGGGCCAAGAAGTCATTCGAGTTCATGGTGTGGAATTTGGCGGGTGGTGGGCGCCCGGAAGGTGCTGACTTGTTTTGGAGGATGATAGCCTTAGCTTGGTCCGGGATTTGGTGCCAAGTGCGACGGGCGTGGTCATCCAACTGTTGCCATGTGGCATTGTCAAGTTGAGGACGGGTTGTACAATAGGAAAAGGCTTGGAAGGCCTCAATAGTTTGCCTATTAACATCTAGATCAAAATCTTGGGTGTACTAGTCGTCTGTATTATCGTTATATGGGCCATATATGTCATGAAAGAGAGCTTTGTGTGTAGCAGGTACAACAGCTCGTTTGTTCATAGCCATGTCATGGGCCATGGCGGCAGACGTGACGAGTTCAACATACTGAGGGTAAGTCAGTGACTGACCGGTTTGCGCGGATAAGAGCTTGGAAGAGGTCTTAATCTCACAAAGATACGGTGTCTGTTGAATGGCGTTCGCAAGCAGGATGCGGAACTGGGAGTCGGCCATTTTATCACTAGCAATCTCGTTATAGAGTCGTGCTTGTTCAAGCCAATGAAGAACAAAAGCGTAGTGTTTGCCGGGCCAGTCCAACTTGACAAGTTTCTTGGTAGTCAACCAAGTCATCAGGGAAGAAGCTTGCGTGTCGGCTGCGACTGAGGTCGTACAATGATCGTTGAGTTAAGCCCAAATTTGTTGAGCATCGTACGTCTGCTGATACTTTTGTACCAGAGATTTACCAGTGTTGGTCTGCAGCTTGATGACAAAGATGAATGAAGGCCTGCTGTTTGTTTGTCGTCCGCAGAGGCAGGAACGTAGGAGTGATCCAGAACGTTCAGTGTGTTATGAACACAAGTGGTGGAACAAAAGATCAATTGAAGATGTCCCATTCTGAGTCAGTATTCAGAACAGGTTACGCATCAGGATCTAGTTTCAAACTCTTTTGAAATGAATCAGCGGGTGTACCACGATTAGGCTTAGCAACTAAAGGTTGAGGAATAGTAGAATGACTATAAGTTATAAAACTTCCGCTATACCTATATTCTTTAAATGCTTCAACGTTGATGTTCATACAGTTGTGAATAGTAGTGATTGGATCACGTTGAACATCTGAGCGTATGTAGGTAAAACCAAGGAGTGCATTGATGATGCCACGGTTAGCCTTGTCAAGCTGTGTCAGCTTTGTTCGGCCTGTATCTGCACCACTCCCATCAGTGATGGGTGCGTCGTACTTCAGGTCTAGGAGATCCGTGTCTTTGCGCAACAGGAGGTCTCCAAAACAGAAGATACCGTCATGTTGAAGGGACTGCATGAGTGGTCTGTTCAAGGGCCGCTGCATGAGTGTCTCGACAGCAAAATCGAGACTTGCAGGGGTGTTACCAGGTTCAATAGTGTTGGACGCTTTACCAATTGCGTTGCCAACTGATGGAGTGGTTGTACTTGCAGGTTGGACGCTAGCAGTTGGAACAGTCGGAGAATCATTGTTTCTCGGGCTGGTCGTAGTGCCACGTTGGGTGGTCGGCATGTCTGGTTTGTTGTTGTGGGCAGATGACAAAGGGGAAAAGTTCTCTCACAAGGTCGAAAACTCTAGGGACGATGCTTATCCCAAATTCTTTTACAACAAAGGTCGGTCGAGTATTTCCCTGACAAGAAGGGCTTGAATGGGTTGACATTACGGACTTGTGGTGTCCCAACGGATTCACTAGTCCCAAGGATTGCGGTAAGGCTTTCCCGGTTTGCTTGAACGTCAGAAAGAGGTCAGGTCAGTTGTGAAGGTCCCACAAGTGGTGACAGGAGGTGCCCGTTTTTCTATGGACTTAGCTCCCGACCTTCTAGATCCGGTTATCCCCGTATTCAACAACCAGCAACGTGAATTGCGATCGCGAAAGCGATACTGGTCTTGCTGAGTCGGTAAAAGACCGGCTGTAGAAGACTACAAGAGGCTGGATGAAAACCCCTCGACCTTTATACGGGTATAGGCGTCCCGGTGCTTCAAACGAGTAACAAGTGCCCGGTTCAGATGGAAAACTGGCTGGTTGTTAGGTTGAAAAAATTGAATGCAACAGGTCGATAATCGCTGTGCACTCAGCGACTATCTGCCCCAAACGTGTTGTGATGGACCGCGGGAAACTGTACTCAACGGATGTACAGAATCCAGAACAAGTTTCAGTCGATTAAAAGAAATCAATCTGTGTGCCGCTGCCTGCTTTTAGGGACAAGAACCACCTCGTTTAATTACAGTACAGCCGGGCAATGAGCCTCACAAGCAGTCTTTGTGGTGGATTTCTCGACACCAGAAGCAAAAGACAACAAGTGGGGGAAGCACGGGTTCGGCGGATGTCCAGCGCTTTACACCTATCGGTTTCCAAGAGGGTTGGAATACCAATATATAGAACCACCACCGAGAATAAAATAAAATAAAACCGATACCCTTGTGCCGTTGGGTCTTCGCGTAATCGTCAACAGTGATGGGTATGGGAGCCCAATTTTAGGTCAGTTGACTTTTCGACACAGAAGCTATAAAACTTTTCAGATTGATGAACCAGAGAAAAAAGGAAAAGATCTGGTCTTCGACTGCAGATGTCGGGGGGACAGGGCCAGATCGCAAGTGTGAGTGTTGCGATGGGCCGGAATTGCCAGTTGGGTGGCAAAGAGGGTGTGATGCTTCTGAGTGAAGCAGAGGGCGTTTTTCTGTGCGAAAAACGGCGGCAGTTAGCTGTTGGTGCGTAACTGCGACTGTTATTCTGACAAAATATTATTTAAGTGGGGAAAGCGCCTAGAATTACAGATGATAGTATAAACGTTAAAATGCGCTGCTAGTCAGCCAAAACAGATCAATTACTGGACGAAATATAGACAAGGAAAACTTGTGACTACCAGATTCTTTCAGACTACAAAACTACACGTACGGAGGACAGACCACGTACT